CTGTCGGGGTCGCCAGGAGGCGGTTGGATCCGGTAAGCGAGAGTGGAAGTCGGAAAGTGAAAGAGAAGGCGGGCAGAGGCGCCGTACCTGAGAAGGTTTACCTGACGTTTGCGGCGTGACGATTAAGGATTGAGTTTCCGCCCGTTCTCTTAGGTAGGAGCTTGGCGCAAATTCCTGACATCTGTTCTTCGGGCATCTTTCACCTTGTGGAAAGATGGTGGGAAACGATTACGAGAAGGAGTAACCGGCTGTGTCTCCGCTTGCAACTCTTTCCCAACCCCTAGCGATTGTTTTTCCCCCGCACTTAATTAAGCTGTCAAACCTGCTCCTTGCTCGCGTCTAAAGCATACGAAGAAAGGAATCTGAGCGTGTGTAAAGTGCCTTTCCCTTTCCAGTGAATGGAGATGGTTTTTCTTTATACAGCTCCTGAAGTGCTAAAAGTCCACGGAGCTTAATCTGGCATAGATTGCTTCGGTTCTGATAAACGTGGACTCCAGGTTGCAAAAGCTTTTGCTTTTTTTAAAAAGAGTGCTAGCCTTCATGAGCCACAAGACTGTTTCTGCTTTGCTGGTTCTGAAGTGGCTGGTACCAGTTGCCACTAACAGAGATCACAGGGAAGGACTTCTCAGAGCCTAGTTGGTATTGAGAGAAGCGTGAGGCCATGCTGTTGTGGAGAAGACAGCCATTTCTTCCAGTACCAGAAGTAGGTTTCTTTGCTCAAAAACACTTGTTTTGAAATGAATCAAATATAAACATGCTTCAGTCACACTGTAGTGTGTTTTTGTTTTACAAAGAAAGTCCTTAGTGATGACAGGCATTGTAGAAGAGTCTTATTTGTCTATGGTGACCAAAAATCAGGAGGAGCCTGCTAGCACCTTTTCAGACTAAAAAAAAAAAAAATTAAAAAGGCATAAGCTTTTGTGAGCTCATCAGATGTGTTACTTTGAAAAGGTGCTAGCAAACTCTTGATTTTTGACTGATTGCAGGCTAAATCTTATTTTTTTGACTGAATTAACTTTAAAAAATGGGATAGGAGTTAATTCATTGTACTTTCCCAGCTGACATACTATGATCAAAATTTCTGTTATATCTAAATAAATTCTTTGAGACAGAAATGTTCTCTTGACTGGGTTCACAGAACTTACTAAGCTAACTTAGTTTGTCTCTCTGTACTATAGCAGATGTGGTTATTTTATGGCTTTCTGAGACATAATTGACTTAAACCATGGAGTGCTGTATGAAGACAACCATTATATTTGCTTACCTATAGTAATTATTTCATTAGATTTATATCCTCTTATTCATGAGCTCAAAGTGACATACACAGCATTCCCTTCTCCCATTCTTTCTCACAACAACCCTGAGGAGTAAGTTGGGCTGAGGGATTGTGATTGCCCCAAAGTCTCCCAGTGAGCTGTGTTATTAAGACACTGTTAACATGTTCATTCTGTTTGATTACCTGTTTTCTGTAATTATCTAAGAAATAAACTATAAAGAATCATTTACAGCATGAATCTTATCATAAAAATTTGCTCTTCTTTCTGGTTTCAAGGTACAAAGCCACTCATGTTAATATTCCTCTGTTGAAGGGATAAAAACAGAAATTGGTGATGAGAGTTAGTTGTTTTCTTGCAAGCAAATGGTAATAGGTTAGGTTCTATATATTTAGGAAGGGAATGTAATAGAAGAAAGCGGTTATCTGATTTTATGCAGTCTAGATATGGTAATCTTAAATTCTGGTAATCTAATAAAATTGACTTTGGATTATATTTGTGTCCCTAAGTGAAACTAGAAGCATTGATAATTGTTTTACTTCTCTAATAAATCCAAGATATGTCTAAATAAATGGCTAGATTAAACATCTTCCAAATAATGTAAATCTTACCTCAAGTCTGAATTGGGTAGCCTGATATTCAAAAAGTACTGACACCCTATTTGATTTTTAAATGCCTTTTGATAATTAGAGAACTGGTACAAGTTGTACAAGTTAGGCTTCGTTGCAATAAAGATGATTATTCCACCTAAAAATCTATTCAAGGCAATTTACAACTGAAATATCTGAAGCCAATCAGTTTGTTCAGAAAAGACAACCAGCAATTTATCAAAACTCTCAAAAAATGCTTAGAAAATTGTTTTACCTCTGGAGAATTAGGCAGCATCCCAAAAGCATTTTTTGATTCACTATTCAGTAGGATCAAAGACTACTCCACCCTAAAGTTTGTGTAATTAAGGGCAAGAAAAAATGTGACTACTCCATTTTTCTGTAATTAGTAGACATTCTGCATAGGAGCAGGGATTAACTCTCCAGTAGTTTCTTCCTCCCCTACCACCTTCATTAGATTCCTGCATCCATGTTCTTTATTCTAATAGGCTTTAGAATAAAGGAAATATTGCTTTTGTTCTGTTATTGTCAGCCCTGATGATTTAAAAAATTCAGTTATAACATAAAACACTTTTACATACTTTTACCATTTGTGTGTGTAGTGGTTCAGAATTTCTAAATCAAAGAGGCATATTTGATTTGAAAAATTCACGAGTCAGCTGCTGGGTCACAAAGAACATTGTTAAGAAAAAGTGTAGCCTGTTAGCTTGGCATAATGTGGCATTTACTGCTCATTTGGAAAGATGTGTTCCCAAAAGAAAGCTAACTGGTGATTAGAGTGGAATTTATAGACACTAAAAACCAGGGTGCCATCTGAGTAGAATGTCTTTCCTATGTGACAATTGCAAATACATCTATTTCCCACCCCTCAAGATGCATTTATGCTTGACTTGCTTTCATTAAGTTGAACTCAGTTAATATGCCTAATCTAGACATAATCTTCCGAAGTGCCTTTTCACATCTATCTGAAAAAGATAAAAGGAAATAAAATTGATCTGATCATTTTGTATTTAAATAAAACCATTTTGTATTTAAATAAAACCATGATTATTATGAACATAATATCCACATATTATACTTACTGGGCTAATTGTTGAGTACAGGAGCATGGTTCTTCTTTTCCTTTGTCTATACCTGAAACTTCTACATGTATAGATCACTGCTTTGTCTGTGTTGATAGCAAACATATAACATATATATTTGCATCATGATTCTGGTAAAGGTGCTAAGAGTTACTTGCAATATATCTATGATAACATATAGCATAACCATGAGAAAAAGTTCCAAAAAGAATCTGGGCTAAAAAAACTTTAAAGGCAAAGCTGAATATTGTTGCATATTAAACATGACAGGTGTTACGCATCAATAACATTTCAGTATTGCATTATGACCCTAGAAAAGGTCCTGTTTCTTGTGCTTAATGGAATTATATTCTATGACAGCAAAGACTTTGAAGCTGGCCTTTCTTTAACTGCTGTCTTTTGCTGTCAGTAATAGAAAATTATGTTACTATTCTTTGAACCTATTTTCACAATCATTCTTAGGGTAATAAATAGGCAAATGAACTCTTCCCTTCTTGAGTTCTTCCTATTTTACTATTTGTAGTAATGCAAGTAGTATATCTGTTGATGGCCTTCCTTCTGCCATATCAGTACTATTTCTGTGGTCTGCCTGTAAAATGTGTTTTTGTGACATATCAGCCCAGTTCTTCTGCATGCAATTCTAAACACTAATATTGTTACCATGTAGACCCTAGAGTGAAATGGTTGTCTTGTATACACAAAAACAAGGGAATTTGTAACATATAGTCAAGCTGAAAATGACTAGAGAAAGCTGAGTAAAATCTAAATTAAATGGACAGATCTGGGAACCTTTTAACTAGTGACTGGACTATGACAGTGAATGAAGTAGAAGAAAGAAACAGATATTTGTTTTATTGAATGTACTGTATATCCTGCTTTTTTGCTTTCATAAGCATTCAGGGAGGCTAAGAATATGCTTGAAAATATTCTCATCCTGAAAGGCTAAGGTAACCGTAAAAAAATGGAATTTTCTCTAGGGTAATTCTTATCTTAGCATGAAACTGTTATAATGCCTGTGTAGCAAAGCAGAATTAACAGTGTGGACTGGTTACATGGTTTTGTGCATCTTTTTATAATGAGCAACAACTTCCTATAGTAGTGTTCAGGCTAAGCTTTTCTGTAAATTGTCTTATGGAATATTTAATGTAGACTACTCCCTAATATTCAACTTTTAATCAGAGGGATTCTTAATAAAATGCAAATGAGAATTGTGTTAATTTGTTGTAACAGTGGCAGTTTATACGATTAACAAATATATTCCTAACACACATAATATTATTATTCTGAAATATACTTATATAGGCACATAGGCAGGGAGTGAGAATTGAGGATAGCTCTTTGTAGTTTAGTAAGGATAGCAATATATATATAATTACTGGGGGGAGACTCAGAGTAAAAATAACAAATAAAAGTTGCTAAATTTAGCTCAGAGCCAAACTTTTTTTTTACTCTCGAGTTGTCAGGGCAGCTTCATACAAGACAGGGAGGGGCAACAATTCTACACATAGCACTGAAGGCCTCCTTCTGTAACTTTAGAAACACCATGTGGTCGCTGATAAAGTCTCTTCCCAAAATCTGAGAAAAGTAAGAATGCATTCCCCCACCACCACCACTCCAAAGTCCTGCTGTGCTGCCTCATCGTAGTCAGGGGTGGGGAGTGTTCCTGGAGAGATGAGTAAAGAACACCAGGAGTATATGCCAAGAGTGTATACTCCCAGCAGGGTCACCCAAGGCACGAAGATCACCCCAGCTGTCCAGCTAAAGCAAGCAGGTACCTATACTGAGAAGCAGCAGTATAGGAAGATGGTGGAGGTGAATGATCACTTTAGCAACAATGGCAAAGGCATCAATTCATATTGCGTGGGAGAAAGCAATGGTAAACCAGTCCTCTATTTTTACCAAGAAAACCACATGGGTAGAAAATATAAAATGATTAACGATATAGTGCTGGATGATGGGACCCTCAGGTCAGATGGCACGCTACTGAGGAAGAACTGAGGATTTTTTGGAGTACTAAAGACATAGCTAGCTTAAAGCCTTTGGGATCAGCCTAGTTACTGATGCTGCCATATAGAAAAAGAAAATCCAAAGCTGGAAAGACAGAATTACAGTGAGAACGTGGGACTTAAGCATGAACATGAGAAGTTTCAGCACAGTGAAAGATGAAATAAAATGACTACACACTGACA